CATCCATAGATGGAGGGTCCTGCGATCGTCGGCCTGGGAAGTCGTCGCTCTTAGCTGGTGTATATGTTGCCAGCTTCGAGGCGTGAAAGACTGGATGGATCGTCAGATGCGCCGGGATGTTGATCACAAATGAAGGGCCATCGGGCTCATCGCCCGCGGCTGATGTTACAGGCCATGGTCCAAACCACTTGGGAAGCAGTTTGCGTGAAACATCCTGTTCCCATGCAAACTCTTCCGCGGAGACCCAAACCGGATCACCGGCGCGGATGGGACATGGCACGCGACGCCTGTTGGCTTGCTGCTGCATGCGGACTTGAGCCTTTTGCATGTTCGCGCGGTCTTGAGCCAGTAATTCCCTGTACTTCCGGACGGAAGCGGGAGAGCAAGCGGCGTCGATGTCGGCTGGTCGTGGGAGGAGAAGGTCGGCGAAGATACGGCCTTTCCGTCCACCGTGGTGCAACTCGAATGGAGTCACGCCGATCGCCGGGTGCACCGAAGTGTTGTAGGCGAACTCGATGTCGGGGAGGCGGTCAACCCAATCTTTCTGGTCCGGACGAATGAGCGTACGAAGCATCATTTGAGCGGTTTGATGTGCCCGCTCCGTTTGCCCGTCCGTCTGTGGATGCTGAGCCGAACTTGGTTTCATCTTTGTGACAGACTCCTGCATGAGAGTAGTCCAAAATGCCGACATGAAGCGAGTGTCGCGGTCGCTGACTGTGTCTTGCGGTACACCGTGGCCACAAATCCAACCGGTGTGCAAGAGGCGTGCCAGCTCGGGAGCCGTGGAGTAGTACTTGCAACGGAGAAAATGCTCACACTTACTCAAATGGTCCACAACCGTGAGGATGCCGTCATGCCCGAGGCGATCACGGGGAAATGGTCCGGTGACATCCATGGCAATGGAGAAGCCGGGCTCCCGTGGGATAGGCATCGGGCGCAATTCGCCATAGGGGTTGCGATTGCGAGGCTTGCTTCGTCGACAAACTTCGCAAGAGTCGCAATACCGAGTGACATCGATAATGAGGTCAGGCCATCGGAATCGTTGTCGAAGCCATGCAATAGTGCGGTTGACTCCGAAATGGCCGACGAGTCGCGAGTCATGGTGCTCCCCGAGAAGGCGAGTCCGAAGACGACGATCTCGTGGGACACACAATAAGTCCTTGCCTCTCGAGTGGAGGAGCAAGTACCCGTCGGCAATGCGATAGTGGCTGGTCGGCGGGTGATCCAAAGATAGTTGCGCATACAACGTGGCGCAGTCCGGATCCGACTCATATCCCCGGATGAAGTGTCGTTGAAGTTCCTCGTCGAATGCGAAGGCATAATGTGTCATCGCGCAAAGATCAGGTCTTCGCGAGAGTGCATCTGCTGCGCGATTGGAGAGGCCGGGAAGATGTTTTGGTGTGAAGTCAAATTGGTCGATGAAGTACATCCATCGTCCGATCGTGCTGCTCACCGTATCCTGCGTATTGTAGTAAGTCAGTGGGTTGTTGTCCGTAACCCATGTGAACCTACGACGCCCAAGGAGGAAGTGCCGCCATCGCTTGAGATCCATCACGAACGCGAGCAGCTCCTTCTTCCTTGCATCATCAAGCGAGTTGATGGGAGGCACTTTGTGGCTGAAATACTCCACAAGGTGCCAGTCGTCGCCGTCGTGTTGTTCCAAGACTGCCCCAATGCCATAGCCGGAAACGTCAGTTGTCACTCTCGTAGGCAGGGTGGGGTCATAGATCCTAAGGATGACCAAGGACGGGTGCCATGAGCATGGCCGTCTTAAGTGCTTGGAATGACCGGCGTGCGTCGTCATCGAATACGAATGGCACCTCTGGCGATTGTAATCTCGTCATAGGTGCAACAATCCTTGAGTATCCGGTGATGAATCGCTGATAGTAACCCGCCAACCCCATGAATGAACGAATGTCCGTGGTGTTGGTGGGCTCAGGCCATACGCGGAGGGCCTTGATCTTGTCCGCAAGCGGACGGATGCCTTGCGGCGTCACATAATGTCCCAAGTACTCCAGCTCCTGCCGCGCGAGTTCGCATTTGTCGCAGTTGGCTTTGTACTTGGCTTGTCGTAGCCACTCCAAAACGGTGCGCAGGTGTTCCACATGCTCGTCCAAACTCCGGCTGTACACCAGGATGTCGTCGAGGTAGATAAGTACGAATCAATCCAGCATGTGTCGGAACTCCGTTGTCATAGCCGCTTGGAAAGTGGCCGGGGCATTCGTAAGGCCAAATGGCATAACCAGCCATTCGAAATGCCCAGATCGCGTCTTTAACACGATCTTGTAGCGGCCCTCCTTCCGAATCTCAAGTTGGTGATATCCCAACTTGAGGTCCAGCTTGGAGAAGAACTTGGCGCCGCCCATGTTACGGACTTTGCCAGGGCTCGATCCCTGGTCTATCTTTTGCTGTTTCGGCTGCATCCCGTTTTCGGCCTGGCACCCTTTTTCCAAACCCCTCATTTGGTACCGTAGGATTTTGGACAACTGGCGCCATGCTGCAATACTGCATTTTTCAGTTCTGCCCTCGGGGCCTTTGCAGAAATGCCCCTGGTACCGTACGTGTCACCGGTACTTATGCCCGCTCCCCGTACGGTACGGGGACGAGTCTCGACCAGTTCTCTGCTGCTGTACTCGTACTCAGTGTGACTTGCCGTTTCGGCATTCGGAATCCAAGACTTCGACTTGGTGCCTTGCCACTGTGTCTGCGTCCGACCCTCAGTCCGAGTCCGTCGTGTCGAGTGAGTGAGTGTGTGTGTGTGCTTTCACTCTCTCCCTCTCTCTCCCTTTCTCTCCCTCTCTCTCCCTCTCTCTCCCTCTCTCTCATCTCCCTCGGCTCACCCTCAGCCTCACGCTCGTTACACTGGTATCGGAGCGGTTCGAACCCGCCCGACCCACCCTGCTTCGACGTTGTCACCTGGCCATCATCAACCATCGTCGAGATCGTCGCCGCCGTGCCACGTCATCAT